GAAAAATAGCTGAAAGTAAAAGAAATCAATATAAACAGTATTTTATTCGCTTTGTGTCCAAAATGGACAAAATTAATACTCCAAATGTATGCCAAAGCTTAAAGCAGCAACAACGCTACACATGTAAGTAACAATATTTAAGTATCTGAACAAATAATTCTAGTCTCTTCCCAAATTTGATTGTCCTAACTAATCACCTGTTAGGCCTAATTAATTATAGAATGTTTTAAAGTATTGCAATTGTGATGTATTTTAATGTGTGATATGACGAAGCTGTTGACGAACTGTGATTTTTTTATTGAAGACATTTTTTTTAACTATCTGCTATTTTAGAAAAACTGATGATGGTGGAAAAATACACCGAAACGTATTTTAATTGATAAATAGAGACAATAAATGACTGAAACCCAGGAATTAATTTTGATTTGGAATTGAAACACAGTCAGGAAAGTATATACAATTAAAAATATTGTTAACCTAGACTAAGAGAATTATTTAGACTAAGACAAATATTTGTACTAAACAAGGGCCTATTTCGATGAAATAAAGATTGCTTATATATGTATGTATATGGATTATAATTACTTATTGATTCACTAAAAAAAGTCGGTTGTCTTTAAGTGGAGACTCCGTTATGTCCAACTGTCTGGATTTTTGAATTTTTAGGAAGTTTATTCCAAATATATCAATCAAAATGTTGAACTGCTTTTAGTATTATTCTAATTTTAAAGCCCGCTAAGAATACATTTAGTTCTCAAATTAAAAACCGATTGGGATACATGCAAAGTGTGCAAAACCGGCAATAGCACCTAACAATAGCGGCACGTCTACTTCAGGTTTTAGGTCATTGAGAATGAAATGAAAACAGTCTATTTCTGAATATCTCGGTTTTCGCAGTAATGGTTTATGACCTCTATTTCAAAAAATATTCAAAAAGTTCATTTCCGTTGATGAGAGATCCTCATTCTTCGGATAATTGGTACAGTGACATGGGCAAAACGTAAAACACCTTTTCTCGGTCCGTATTAAAGCGGAGACGAGACATCTTTTACAAACATAACGAAAATCTTATTAACTGTTTCCTGTTGCCTATTTTTGGTCCATCCGTTCTTGTAATTCCACGAATCATTGTTGGCCTATAAGGTTTGCAAGTAATCGTTGAGTTTATACTGATTTTGTAATGCATGCATAGAGTAATTATAAGACACTTAGTTATATTTGAAAGTTTTATGATGATGTTTCATGATACGAATACTTATTTTCTCGGAATATTAATTCAATTTTCACGATCGGAATATTTCCCATCGGTTAACTTTATCTACAGGAAATAAATGGGAATCACTCGTTTGCTGTAAAAATTGGAGTTTTGTAGTAAAATTTTTACAAATTTGTCCTAGAGAATCTTTGTGGTTTGTGGTAGATGCAAGCGAGAGGTAGGAATTTAAATTTGTCGCCGTATATAAACGCAAGTTTTAATGAAAAATAAGTTTTACTACTGCTGTTATTTTAGATCATCGATATGCATTACAAGTTTTTAAATATTCGTTCTTTAGTCAAATATCTCGTTGGCTGTTAGCCAATTAATTTTAATTTATTAAAGTATATTAACGTAGTGAAAGTACAATGAAGATTACGACTGTCAGGAAGGAAGCTCGTATGAAGGCAAGCATGTTTTGCTTTATAAAAATATGTCCGAAAAGGAAAGGTTTTTCCTTTACTTTCATCGGCTAGTTTAATAGTTTTTTGTTTTTAGCGCCTTTGGATATCTGATATTGTTTGTCCCTGACAGTAAATTTTATGAAACACACTCAATAGCATTTGGTAATTTTACCTCGTAAACCGTTCCATAGCATAAGCGGGGATTTTGCAAATCCTTTGTATAAATACTTGTAATATTGCCATAAATTGAAAAATACTCATAAACATTTGTTATTTTTTATGCTGTTCAACCTTTCAGCTGAAGTAAGTCCGTAAAGTAACAGTGCCGTTAAATAACGAAATTTTCTAAAATAGCAGCGCGTAGGTTTGTAAACAAACCGCTCATTGTACAAAATCACAAACTGTCGCATCTAAATTAATTCCCTCCTTCTAATGGCATGCCACATCTTGCAGCTTCGTCTATGGAAAAACGAACACTTAGTACAGAGTCAGGATGTTGAAGGTAATTTAGACTTCCAGCACCAGCCAATTATTAAGTTAAATTATCAGTGACTTGTTATTCTAAGAATGCAATTTCTGAAAGAGCCAGGGGAAGCATTTGTGTAATATAAATTAATTATTTGGAAAAGATTACTACATTAGATTCAACTGCAAAAAATGCAAGTTTTTAAAGAGTTCGAGTGCAGTTGGTGAAAACCTTTACGATCGCCATGGGACATAAAAATCTAAATTTAGTTTTCTTCAAATATCCAATACTCGGGTTTATTTTTTCGGCTTTCAAAGCCATAAAGTCCCATACAACTTTCGATAATAAATCAAGTCTTAACTAGTGTTGACACTACCATTAAACGTGTTCTTTTATGCTTATGCCTCTTTTCCTCCATTAGGGTGGAGTTCAACAAAACTCCAAATTTATCTCAATCAAATCACTAGAGATTTGCTCAAATTCAAAAGTTGTAACCAGTTTGAAGGTTTTGTCGAACAGTTCGATTTATATAAAGCAACCGAAAATAACTTGCTTGTATTTATGACATTATATCCAGGTATAATTTTAACAAAGTATCAGATGAAGAGGTATTTTGATTTCACATTTAAAAATAGCAATCCGAAGAGCTGAAAATAGCAAGTTCAGGAGTAACAACCTGAAGATCAGTTTTCAATAATAGATGTTCGAACTTAATGCTGAATGCATTAAAGTGATTGGCAAACGTAACTCTTAAGTGGCAGCTAATTTCGGAACCATGAGAGAACACAGACCTGTAAATTGATTTGAAATTTACATAATTAGCTCTACGAAATTCAACAGACTGTTAACTACTTGTATCTGCAGTAAATGCACTTTATTACCTATGCGGTATTTCAATGTTTTCCACCGATGAGTCGAGCGAAGAAGGGATAAAAACATAAATACATACACTAAAATGTACTTACATAATTTCTGTAGCTGCTCATCTTTTACTCTTAGAATTTCCATGGAGGGAACGAACTTTTTCACTTAGTTTTCACCCATTCGACAAATTCTACTCACTAACTACCAAAAATATAACCATACGAAGGTAAGTTTGATTAAGTACGCATAAAATGTGACTCTATACATCCCCACATTAAAAAAATCGTGGAGAAGCCTAAAAATATCTTCTTAAGCAAGCAAAGAAATGTCACACATTCACTCGAACACTGACGAAAAAAGCTGAAAGAGGAAGCGACATTTATAAGTCCTTTGGTATTCAATTTTGAAAAGGAATAATTAAAACTCCATTTCATATTACAAAAGTACGTAAGTTTAATGTATGGGCAGAACGTATTTGGTGACAATTTTCGTTAGCAATATTAAGCAGGAAGCAATGAATCATGAAGAACAAATTGGCTTAAATGTTAATCAGTTCACGCAATCTTTGAATGCTTGATAATAGATGGGTTTAATTTCTTTTTTATAGTTCAAACAAACAGAAAGCAAAAACATGGATTTTGGCAACCATCTCACCTGGCCTGTTTTCCTTAAATAAGCCCAGTTTTTTTAAGTTCCATGTGTGAAACACCGTAATTTTGCTTAGAAACAATAGAAATTATCACAGAATGACAAAAATAGTAGAAAAGCTAATTAATTTGCATTAATAAAGTGCCTTAAAAACGTTAAATAATTTGGTTGGTTGGAACAATGAAAACATAATAAATAAATAATAAAAATGAACTGTACAATATCTTCCTTGTTGGAAACAAACTTAACTCAACTGTACGAAAATTGCAAATAAGTTTATTGGAAATGTGCGAATTCAAAGTGCATTTCTATTTGCGGAAACGTACTTGAAACAAATATAATAGTGAAATTACGGGGCAATTTTAGAGGTCAAGCCGCAGTTTAAACTGTTTGTAATTAAAAAAAAAACAAAAACTAAATTGGTGAATTGCCGGCGTTTAAAGTCTTTAACATTCGCAAGTTATTTTTACGTATTATAAAACAAGTGCTCTTGAACTTGTTTCGTAAGTCCGCAAATATTTTCTGTGTATTTAAGTTAAAAACAAAGATTTTTTCGTTGAAGATTATTCAAATATTTCATGTTTTCTTCTGTGATTGTTTGATAACTTCTTATTTATTTCATTTAGTGTAGATTATGTGCGGAAGTTGTTAATTAAAATGTATCAAAGTTATTTGTTATACTTTTAATAGGAAATATTTATGTGTTCAAGATTCGATATTTTTCAAAAGGAAAAATCAACTGCAGATGTAGGGAAGTAATGTTGACATAAAATACGTACTCAATACAAACGAACAAACTAAAATAATCCATTAAAAAATGCACAAAGTCTTAAAAATAAAGAATTTTGACCGACAAAGTAAGCGATTAAACCCATGAAATATTGGAAGGGAAATCGATTCGAGTCAATATATTCAAAATTGAGTTGAGTCACTGAAATTGAATCCGCGCCGATTTTTCACCACTAGTTTCGTTTCGACGCTTCCAACCGACGTTAAGCGTCTAAAGGCGTCTTAGCCGAGCGTCGGCGAGAAGACTCGAGCAGTTGCGAACTGGAAAACTTGGTAGATGAAATTTTCAAGACATATTTCGAAAAATACAGAAGAAGATGCAAAAAAGTGTTTAAAAATGCATCAGTCATTCATTAGCGGCTGAAACAATGTAAGAGTGAAACAAAAAAAGTTGTATATTAATAAATGAGAAACAAAAATCATACATGAAAAAAGCAGTACAGTTCGAAAATTGTTTAGGTCTTTACCTTCATTATAAAACATTTCTTCTGTTGTAATTAGGAGGTAAAAAATATTCAAAAATGAGTCAAACTATCCAAAAATACTTTTTGTTTCATTTTATTTCACTGTGAATTAAAAAAATGCTTTCATTTTTTTTTACGACTCACATATGAAACAATACACTTTTTGATTAAGCAATACTCGGACTAACAATAATTAAATTTCAAAATATTGCATTAACTATATGATTTTTCAAGTATCTAAAGCGTTATATCTAGATGGCTTAATAGTCGGCTTGGGGCTATTTAAAAACTAGCCAGCTTAATTTCCAAAATATTTTTCTAACTGCTCATTTTGTTTTCGATTTTTTTTGGTTAAGACATATGGTGTCTCCTCCAGGAAAGTGCCTTTTACTGGAAAATAAACATAGACTAGTGTGTGCAGTCAACAGCCACTCATATCTCTTCTGCGTGCGCTTAATCCTGCTCCAGACAAACGAGGATGTTGTTTCTCAAAATTTTGAAAAAAGACGATGGAAAATAAACCATTTTTACGGACATTAAAATTAAAATTCGTTTATTATTTGTTTTTTTCTAGTGTTCTGATTGCTGTGCAATTCCTTTCTAAAAGAAGTAAACGATCTATCAATTTTTTTTTAAACACTGAATTGAATTGCAGATTGGCAATGTTCTCAACTCAATATCTGATTATTCTGACTGAAGCCGCAATTTTTTTTATTTTCATTCAATTCACTCGAAACGCATTTGTTTGAAAGCTTATGAGTGTCCTTTGAAATGTTCTATTGAAAATTTGATTTCAATACTAAATATATTTCTAAAGTAAAACTCATAAATCAAAGGATAAAACCGCAAATTTAAAATAAAATGTATTCACGGTGCAATCTATACCCTTTCTCTGAACAATAAGAGGCATAAGTCCTCCAACCGTTATTCTATGCCTTTAAAATTAATCTAGATTGGTTATTGCTTTTATGAAAAGCAACTGAACACACTTTAGGTAACTATCATTGTACTTCATCGTTGAGAAAAGCTTAACAAAATTGGTCAACAAAATTTTCTTTATAATAATATTGCTGTTTCATATTAATATATTATATTCTCCTTCAATAATTATGTCGCATTTGCTTTGGATCGACATTGATCTTTTACTCCGAAAAGTAAAGGTAATTCGTCAAATCGTCAAAAAGAAACGGATTAAATACTTTGAGCACCGAATTGTCAAGAGTACTTGCAATATACAATATAATATAGCAATCGAAAATAATAGAAGGCAAACTCCAGTTTAACAAATTGAATAAAACTACTAGAAAATTCGGCATGAATAAAACACAGTTGCTGAAACCATTCCAAAATACTTGATGTAGAAGTTTAATTAAGAGGTTTTTTAGGTCCTAACAAACTAAATTAATTTTTGAGCATACGGAGCAGGTTCAGAGCAAGGAATAGATTAAAGTCGTTATCTTGCACTAAATTGTCTTCTTTTTTTAATGATTTTGGACCTTGCCAACCTGGTGCACTGGAGTCACTCAAATAAAGTTTTTTTTCTGAAACCATCGCATCCAACTGAACAAAAGAAAAAGTTCAAAAAACTGGCGAAGATTTAATAACTTTACTTAAATGATTGGTTTAATGATAACACCTAAATGAACTTACCAAAAATGTTTTTAKKTCGTAAGTGCGTGATTTTTTAATAATAAAAATAAATAAATTTTAAGATMATTTTCATTTGTAAATCTTTAGCGAGCAAAGAAAAAAATCTTTAGATTACAGTCTTTTTAGAAAAAAGACTGTATACCGAGATGGAATATAACGTTAAGSTGAACTAACATCTACGCCACTAAACTCAGGATGAACAAACATTTKCAAAAGTCCACACGTCTGCTGTAATACAGTCACAGAAAAAGGATAGTTGGTTGGATAGGTGGGTATYCAAAACTTRTAAAAGTTGATRCCTCGGAAACGACTACAAATACACTGAYGGACAAAATTAGCGCACCACCTATAAATTTGCGAATAAATGATTTTCCCCACGAATGCTGATAAATAATTGTAACATTGTACAGTCCCAATTGTTTTTAATCCTTTCCTATTCATTCCAATGCAAGTTTCTACTTGTTTTGTGTCATTTGCATCATCGCATCATTGCGGCAATTTCAGCAAGTGTGGTACTGTTTTCAATTCAATTTTCTTGCGTTTTTCCTAACGTGTGTGTAACTAAAGTGTATTCGCATTGAAATGTCCTCAGGAAGACATTTTAGTGAGTTTGATGCGGTCAAAATTGTCACCTTGTTTGAAGAAGGGAATTCCCAAGGTGAGGCCGCCCGAAGGTTGGGTGTTCATCACACCACCATTCGTCAATATCGTCAGCGTTTTAGGAAAACAGGTTGTCATGCTAGACGACCAGGGCAAGGCCGACCAAGATCCACAAACCATGTGGACGATCGTTTTCTACCACTGCAAGCTTTAAGAAATCGGTTTATTACTGGAAATGAGATAAGAAATCGAATTCAAAATGCCCGAAATGTTAAAAGAAAGACATCTTTTACAAAAAGAATGTTAAACGTTAAAAGAAAACAGAAAAAAGAAGGCTTAATGGATCCGGATTGACTGCAAAACATCCCGCAAAAGGTCCTCTCTTAACCATAGCCTACAAGCAAGCTAGGCTTGAGTTTGCTCCAAAACACGTGGATTGGAATTTGGATTACTGGAAGAAAGTCTTGTTTACTGATGAAGTTAGACTGGGGTTAAAATCTTCGGATGGGCGAGCTTTTATTTGGAGAAAACCAGGAGAAAGATACAGCCAAGGATGTATGGTTCCCCAACTGGCTTTCCGTGGTGCCTCTATAATGTTTGGGGGTGGCATTTCTTTCGAGGCCCGTACGGATCTTGCGGTGATCCGAGGAAGATCCTTAACTTCCCAGAAGTACATTCAAGATATTTTGGAAAACCATGTCGTACCTTTTGCTCTTTACATAAGCGGCAATTTATTTTTTATGGATGATAATGCCAGACCGCACCGAGCTCTGATCGTGCGCGAATATCTTAATGAGGTTCGCATTCAACGTTTTTTTTAGTGTCGCCAGCGCGTAGTTCTGGAACTGAACTGGAAACGCGGATCTTCAAGAGTGGCACAATATACCCCAAGAATTAATGGTAAACCTTTTTTATGGCATTCCAAGACGTTTGATGGACGTTCTTCGAGATAGAGGCGGCAACACACGCTTTCGAATCGGTTAAAGACGGAAACTTTACCTGAATTTTCAAATGTATTTTCATAATTTTTTACCAAATATCTGATAAAGTGATTCATGTTTTGTTTCAATTTTTTTTGGAAAACATTCCCATATTAATTCGAAAAACAATAGTTTGAATTTTAATAAAAGTATATAGGGTTTATAACGTTTTCTTTGAAATGTATAGATGGTGCCCTAATTTTGCCCATCAGAGTAGATAACTTCGAAATTACTTAAAAAAATTGAAAATTTTTTCATTTGCTAACTTCATTTGAAAGGGTAATGGTTAGTAAATTTGAAAGTGTCTTGCAAGCTAAGTAACTACATTTTAAAACCCTTGCATATAAGCGGCGCCTGCCGAAAACTCTGGAACATTTGCGATTGATCTTTTCGAAAAATCGGTTCCTGAACTGCATTAATTTTTTAACTTCTAATCTTTTCAAAGGTGGAAAAAAGGTTCTCAGATTTAATGGATTCCGATGATCAATAGCTTATTTAACGATACTAATTAACATAACTGATCAATAAGTAGGACTTAATCGATAGAGCATTTCAATTAATTCCCTTCAGTAATCAGTCTTAATCCTAAATTTCTTTTTCTTCTTCTTCTTCCCTCCGGAGGGAAGCTCTTTGCCTTTATTCATTCGTCTGGGGAATTCGTCTGGGCAGGACACGCGAGGCACATGACGGTATAGGCGTTGATCGGTTCTCCATTGATTGGTGGAAAGCCGAGCACTCAGAACCATAGAGAAGGACAGGAATATGTAGCATCGTAGTATGCGCATACAGATTTGCAGACTTAAGTCTCGACTAGTGAGGGGAGTTTTCATGGCTGTAAAGATTTTCCTAGCCTGTTCGAAACTGTACATGATTTATTTTTTTATGATCGTTGGACTCGTTGACAAGAGCTCCCAGATATTTAAAGGATGATAGTTGTTTCACGGCTTCGTTCTTAATTCTAAAGACTACGCATCTCGGTGTTTTTGAGAATACAACAATTTTAGTCTTTGCGACATCAATCTGAAGACCGCTGTGCTTAACGATCAGATTCACCATGGTTTGGAGACCTGGTAGGTTGTCGGCGAGTAGCACGGCGTCGTTAGCGAATCGTACATTATTTTTAAGAATGCCATTGATCTTAAGACCCCCCTTTCGAATTTTCCAGTGCTTCTCGGGAAACTGCCTCAGAATATATATCAAAGAACAGGGGTGATAGGACACATCCCTGTCTGGCACCTTTTCGTATTTCCAACTCATCCGATGACGTGTTTTCTACTCTGACTTCTGCAGTTTGGTTCCAGTATAGCTAAGTGATGATGCGTAGATCTCCCACATCGACACTTGTGGACTTAAGAATTTCGACAAGTCGCTGATACGAAGCACAGTCGAACGCCTTTCGATAATCAATGAAGCAGGCGTACACGTCCACAGTCATATTCCTGCATCTTTGTGTCCGGCCGTTGATAGAAAAGAGGGCCTCTAGTGTTC